TGGCAAAAAAAGATTTGTAATCATAAGGGGTGTGGGGGGGCGATCAAAAACATAGCAATGTGGACTCTCTGAAGGAGAGTAAAGCTCCATCGTTTGTCTTGGACTAGCACCAGAGGGTATTCGGTAGATATAATATTATTTTTACTCAAAGGATTGTATACCGAATCTGAATTGTTGGTGTAGGCGGGGGAAGGTGGCGGTGAAAAATAAGAGTTCCATGCGTTTCAGTTGCTTTCTGCCTCTTTCTAGTGATCTGAATGTCAACCCCAGCCAACCCCAACCCCCCACACCCCTCCCAACCTTTGGATCCGTCAGGCAGTCAATTAAAATGAGTTACCTACCCTGTCTGTCAACACCATTGACTTCATCACCGTTGTAACTTCCACAAGTGGGAAATCCAGCCGGAGGCATGGGTTGCTCGTGAAACGATTCGTTCAGCAGTAAAGCCATTCCGTTATGATTATGAAGTTCTATGTGACAATGCATGAACCATATTCCAGGGTTATCGGCCATGATTCTTAATACGACATAACCACCAGATGGCACGATAATCGTATCTTTACGAGGAGGGTTGGTTAGTTTTAACCCAGGTACATTATTTCCAGAAAGAGATTCGTCAGCCCATGTTGGATTATTACAATAGCTCTCGGATCGGGCAACACCGCCCCCACAATCTATGTCCATGTTCTCCTCTAGAATTTTACCAGTTTCTTTATCGTACGTACTGTAGCCCATTTTTACCACGTCGAAACTATGGCCGTGCATATGAACCGGGTGTGCCCAACCTTTACCTATGCCCATATTGGTGAGAATAATTTGGTATAGTTTGTTAGAGACTAAGGTAACGGAATGCATACACTCGCACACTTTCTGATCACCGCAGTCCTCCTCTTTGCACATAAATTCTCCAAGGTCTTGAGGTTGTGTCTGGGCTGAAACACTGGGTCCTTTAAACGCTCGCCCATTTACAGAGCCTGGTCGATTGGTTATAGTTCCAGGGAAGGCAAAATTCAAAAATACTTCTATCGGTTCTTCCGGAGGGTCTTGAATTGGAAACTCTTCTGTAGAATTAAAGTTGTCGAAGGTTTGACAATCGGTGTTATAGCTCTGTGGGAAATATTTAAAAGGACAATTTAAAACCGAGCACCTACTATTATTTCTACATTGTGTAGCGATGGAAGTAGGATCGGCCTCCGGGGCCCCTTCATAACGTAAAATAGCCACGGTTCTATGTTCTACATTAACCTCTAGAGTGGTAGCACGAATCCAATAGTTGGCTACGGGTTGATTTGCTGAGAGGAGGAAATCGAATCTCTCACCAGGATTCACTATAAAGGCATTACCAGTAACAGGTGTTAAATCATGTCCATCAGAACCCACAATCGTTATATTGTGTTGATCAATTTCAACTCGAACGGGTAAATATTGCCTGCGTTCGCCCACCGAAATCTGTATTGATTTCCTCGAGATACAGTAAATATTTCCAATGGTGCCCCATTTCCTTTTAAATTATCTACCAAAACCCGTCCTTTACCATTAATCAAACCAGAATCGAATCTAAATCTGCTGAACTCAGCGCCGTCAATAGATGATGTTGTTTGGTAGGGGACCCGATTAGTAAAAATTCCATTTATCATCTTCAAGTAACTTACGCTCGAATCCCACTCGTGGTTCCAATCCGATACGATCGCAAAGAATCCTCATAAGG